TTGGAAGGACATGAGGGTGAGAAATTAATGACAGAATTTTCATTTTTGGGTGAACTATCCCTTTAACTACAAGCTTCCTCAGCCATCAGAAGCAGGAATGGCATGGGCACGAGTTATTTGTGTGCTCTGCGTCAAGGCAGGTGAAAAAAGGCCCAGAGCGCGCGGCTGTTTACTCGTCACATTCCTGACAACTGGACTCATTCGCCATCCAGACACGAAGCACATCATCCGCTTTATCAGGAATCGAGACAAACAAGCTCTGCACAAAGACAACATGACACACAACCATCCCCTACAAAACATGAAAACTCAATCACAACCCAACTCTCTACGCACATTTTTTTGTTTACTCGCCAGACTGATATACTATTTTACACACACACGTTTACTTAGCTATCTAAATGGGGACATTACATAGACTTCGATTGTTTTTATATACAGATAGTTATACACTTTTTAACCTAAACCCACCCCTACCCCTAACCCTACCCCTCACAGAAAACTTTCTGCATTTTTACAATTTCAAAAGTAAAAAGAAACGGTTTACTTTATTTTCTATAACAGTTTTACAAATGAGGACATCCACAAATTGAGGTTTTTGCCGATTTTGTCAGGTTTTGCTCACTTTTGGGTACAAATTTGTCCCCAAAATATGGTTAAGTAGGTACACACACACACACACACATATATGATTCCACCCAATCAGCTTATCTTTGTAAAATGGAACAGCTTCTTAAATAACTGAATGTGCACTCTTAACTTCAGCCAATCAAGCATTATATTATGATATTATGATAATTAAGCACTATTTAATGATAGAACTAGTGATTAGAACTAAAACTTGGTAACCATGAATGAATGCATATTTGTCATTTTAACTGAACTTAGGACTGATGGTGGTGTTTAAGATATTGTTGGTAATAGGTAATAGTAATTATTATTAAAAGATACTACTACTACTACTACACTGTTATCTGCTGGGTTCATGAATATTGATCACGTTGTCAGCGTTCGCTCGAACTGATTTGCTGAAATCAAAACAGGGACGGTAATAGATGAGCGACAGCCAACGAGAGTTGTTCGCGCATTAACTCCGCCCACTGCCGAGAAGCCGGCATATTTTCTGCTTGTTCTTAAAAGCTGAATAATTCTAAATGAACCCTGTTATTTTGACAGGAAAGCGCTCAGTCAGCGTGTTTATCGAGTGAAAATCTGTGTTGAATGCCTCTCACACACATACTGGCGTGTAAAATCTAAGAATTTATTAGCCAATGGCTAATGTTAGACATTATTTAGTCGCCCAGAGTAAGATTTAGTCGCATATGCGAGTGATTTACTTAAAATGTAGAGGATTGCAACCATAAACCTCACAGCTGATCTGAAGAAAACTCACTTTCCTTTCATCCCATTCCTAGTCTTAAACTATGATAAAACGAGCCAATGCCGATAACAGATATCACACATGTAAATAATACACCTACAGCATTGTTGCAAAACTTTTTATTTTACATTACTAAAATAATTGTTAAATCTGTTATAAGACCTCATGATATTGTTCTTTAATCCTACAGTTCTACATTTTTCCTCAAATAAATAAATTATTAAAACAATATGAATAGAGTGAAAACTGTACACGACCCTGTTTCAGTAATTTAAATAATACCAGTAGCTAATAAATTTTCTCAGACTAGTTAGCTTGGAGTAATTATACACACAGTACTGTGAATAAGATATAATAATACCAGAGTAGGATTTACCACAAAGTACTGTTCTCTCGCAGAAAAGTTCTGATGCACACAAAAACCATCATTCAACACTGATTAGTAGTAAATTAATGGTTGATCAGCAGCTGATATTTAGCATTTTATCGGTCGATAAGTGTTGGAGGTAGGACTTTTATTTTTGCCCATATAAACAGGAGTATTCTCTGTCTTTATTTGTTTATTGTCTGCGTTTAAAATATCTGTCCAAAATTAGCCTTAACATGTTAAACATTTTATCGGTCAGTACGTTTTTTTTCTGTTTGGTCATTAAGTGTTGGAGGCAGGACTTTTATTTTGTCCAGATGAACAGGGGTATTCTCTGTCTTTATTCGTTTATGGTCTTTGTTTAACATTTTATCGGTCAACATGTTTTTCTGTCTGGCCATTAAGGTGTTTTATTTTGTCAATGCATGGACTTTTATTTTATCAAGATGAACAAGATTATTCTGTCTTTACTCATTTATGGTCTTTAATTAACATTTCTGTCCAAAATTATTAGAAATGTTAAACAAAGTAAATGACATGACAAGTATTATAGATTTTTATGTGCGATAATACTTTCTCATATACTGTCGACGTTAAGCAAACATTTAGACCATCTGAATAAGTCTTTGAATATGCAATAATTATTTACAGAAATGTCAAACATTTTGGTAATTGTTAAAGAAATGCAAAAAGGATGCAAACAGGAGAATTCAGCTATTACTGCACATGCATGAATGACTTATATATTATGTGTGTGTGTGTGTGTGTGTGTGTGTGTGTGTGTGTGTATGTGCCATCAGCCACCCTCTCAATCAGAATCAGGCATTAAAAAAAACAAAGCTGAATTTAAAATTAGTAATTACTAAAAATGCTATTTTTACAGTAATGAGAATTATAATAGGTAACTGATATTTTCAGGGGGAGACAGGTGACATAGGTGACAAGACCTAGACTATTATATTCACTGTGATCCTGTATGCTCTGCTACAGAATGAGAACGAGTCCTTAAGCTGTTGACCGCAATCTGCAGGACGTTACATAAGACCAGATCATCATTACAGCTCACAGCGAGGAGGATTAATTCCTACAGCAAAACCTCTCACTCACAAGGCAACACAAACGCCGTCACGCTGTTTCTACAGCAGCCACACGCAATGCCTGCTAAGCCACAGACAAGCAGAAAGCAAGCGGTCGTCAGGTACCTGGGCATCAGAGCGTTTGTACCCGTGCGCTTTCCCATCCTCCCCAGCCCGCGGCTCGCTCGTCCTCAGCACATAGCGCTGCTAAGAATAGCAATGAACTAAATTCACAAAACAACATGAGACTGTCAGGTGATCTCCAGGCCGAGCTGGACAGCGCCAGACAAAGACATGCGGACGCGCCGCTGGAAACTGAAGACAGTGTGATGTGGGCATAGAGAGGCTAGCGCGTCCCCTCCGGACTCCTGCGAGCGGAGGTCAGCGTCTGATCATGATGGGGGCGAGCGGCTGTTACATAAAGAAAGCATCCAGATGGTGACGCACTTCCTGTCCACTAGCTGGGGTCGTTTTTGAATGCATGCGGTGGGAATGTTTCCAGGCTGCATTCCTGTCAGCTCGCTCAAGCAGAGCCTACGGGAGTCCAGCGAGGACAATAATAGCTCAGGCTCAGTATCTGGTCTGTGAAGGAGTGCAGCTGCTGGTCTACGGCACATCAACTCACAGCATCCGTCACTAAAGCACTAAACAACACACACACTTCATTTTCTGCAGTGATCGAATCCATCGAAAGAGAAGTATTAGTCAAGCGCAAAATTAAGATGGACACCACATTTAGCTCATAAGTAGGGACGTAACGATTCACTCAACACACAATGCGATATGATTCACGATACGATTTTCTCACGACTTTTAACAAAATGAGATTTGAGACAAATTATAAATTAAAAGGTGTCCTTTTATTATTTCTCAGACAAAATGATGCACATTTCTTTGTGAAATTGAAATGTCAAATAACAAAACTAATTTAAAATTGCAAAACAAAATCACAAATCAAATAAATAACACAAATGAAATCTCTTCTTATGAACAAACTAAGGCTTTGCCTGTGCTCTTACCATTTAAAATTAAAGGCAACAACTGCATTTTACTCTGCATTAGCAGTTTCTGATTTAAATTTGATTGTGTAATTTCGAAGTCTAACCTAAGGCCTGACCTTAGTTTTGTGAAACTATACTACATAAAACATCTGAATGAAACAAAAACAGCAGACGGGCTGAATGAAAATGCAAATTTACTCTCTGACAGCAGGTGGCGCTTATGGAACAGCAGCGACACAGCGATTTCTTCGTTAACGCTGTAAACATAGCTATAAACAC